ATAGCTTTTTTTTTTTTGAGACAGGGTTTCTCTGTGTAGCTTTGTAGACCAGCCTGGCCTCGAACTCACAGAGATCCTCCTGCCTCTGCCTCCTGAGTGCTGGGATTAAAGGTGTGTGCCACCACCACTTGGCATAAGCATAGCTTTTTTAATTAAAAAGTTTTAAGTCTTTTTTATTATGTATACAGTATTGTGCCTGCATGTACACCTGCACACCAGAAGAGGGCACCACATCTTATTACAGATGGTTGTGAGTCTCCACGTGGTTGCTGGGAATTGAATTTAGGACCTCTGGAAGAGCAGCCAGTGCTCTTAACCTTTGGGCCATCTCTCCAGTCCCGTAGCAGTTTTATTGGCAACCATTTGGTCAGTTTTGCAAGCTGTTACTGTTGAGAGAAAGCAGGTGGAGATACGGTAGAGTGATCTGAGGGTCATCTCTCACATTACACACGATTCTATAATGATCTGAAGAGTAAAAGCAAAACTGCTAAGAACCTGCTTGTTTTAAAATTTTTATTTCTAGTTTACGTGCATTGGTGTTTTTCGCCTGCACGAATGTCTGTGTGAGGTGTCAGATCTTAGAGTTACAGACAGTTGTGAGCTTCCATGTGGTGCTGGGAATTGAACCTGGGTCCTTTGGAAGAGCAGTCAGTTCTCTTAACCACTGAGCCATCTCTCTAATCCTGGTTTTTATTAGAAAGTTTTAGAAAAGAAATGAGAGAGTGATGAATGTACTGAAAAGAAAAGAAACAAAAGGAAGCAACTGAGTCAGCAAGGCCCTGAAGGGCAGGTGTAACCAGAGAACAGGAGAATAGAGTAGCCTGGGTCCAAGATCCCAGCTGAGGTGGGAAAGGAAGGAAGGAGAGAGGGGGAAATAGAGTGGTATTGATGTAAATGAGTCAGAAGTGGAGGAAGAGCCCACTTGAGTCGGGGCCAGACTCCCAGGACCGCCAGGGACCCACACCACACCAATTCTCAGCCCCTGCCCTTCCATCCGGTCCCCTTACTGTGTCTACGCCTACTGATTCCTCTCCAAGCTGCCTGGCCACCAGAAGATCTATTTTTGCCAGGTCCCACAGAAACCGTCCCTGCAACCCTTAGTTGAGGCTGCCCTCAACTAAGGCTGTTGTGTCTCCTGTCACTTCCCAACTAGGCTACAATTTATAGCCCCTCCCAGGGTGGGGCAGGCAAGGTGTTCTTGCACAGGGCAGGAGGCAGGAGCTTCACTCATATTTTGAAGGGACAGGAGTGTTATGTTTTTTTTTTCTTTTTAGTTCATGTAATGAAGATTGATTTACAAAACAACCAAGCCCATATGACCAAGGTCGGGAAGACATGGGCACTTCGGTGTTCAGCAGGGTTTCTGTGCTGCTGTGAAAGTTAGCTGGCTGTCATGACAGCTTCCCTACGTAAGGGCCCTAGGGACACTGATGGCTTCTGTTGCACTAAAGACAGCTATACCACGTGCAAGTTGCTCTTCTGATCCACTCCCCAGCAAGTTTAAATATCAAATACTTAGTGGCCAGAGCTGGCGTCAAGAAGGGTGAGGGACAAAATCTCAGAACAGAGGCGTGGCCCCAGATGGCACCCGAGTCCTCTTGGTTCTGGCTTCTCTCCTTTTCTTCTGAGCAGAAGAAACAGTGAAAGATGGCTGCACTCAGGTCTCCCTGCTTGTAAGACTGGGAGACTGAAATTCGAGAGAAGCTGAGACATAGCGCTCCCAGCACCAACAGCCGAGTCAGGGCCAGGAGCCTGCCAGACCCAGCCCAGCTCCTTCCTGCATCATCTATCCCAGACTCTGACCAGCCTACAGGTTTGTCCTTGGTGACCAGGAAGTGCTGTTGTTACCTGCTAACTGGTCAGATTAACCCTGACCTTTGCTCCCAGCCTGCTCTGGTCCCCAGTGACAGTAGAACTTAACATTTAAGCTCCAGCCAGGATCTCCAGGGTCGCGTGTTAAAGGTTTGTTTCTGACATTTAGCTTTAACATAGCTCTTGGCAAAGGTTGCTGTCACCCTGGGCCCTGATGACAAGAATAGCTCCCTTATCGGAAAGTCGGGGTAGGCGGAACCAGACACCCAAGGACAGCCACCCAGTCCCTTCCGTTGGGTTTCCTTTCCTTACTTTTAAGATAATTTCAGAGAAAGCCACTTCCAAAGCTGTCGTGGAAAAAAAAACATTTAGGTAATTTTATTCAAGTTTCTCCGTGTAATTCTTTGTATCTGAACTCTCATTCTCCTGTCTCTAGAGGGGAAGAAAGGAAAAAAGAAAGAAAATGTTTTCCGTGGCTGACAGGTGTCTTAGAAAACAGGTGATGATGGGTCCCTTTCAGAAACACTGTCTCTCAGTGACCAGGTCACAGTGAAAAGCTTCATCTAAGAACGAGTACACTGAGCCACCCACGGAATCCTGCTCCCACTCAGTTTCTTTCCATTGTCCTCCACTCCTGGCCTAAAAATTTGGTCAATATTGGCTTGGAAAATACAGGCAAGCTTTAGCTAATATCCTTAATGGAAAATCCTGCCTAAAGGATTACATTCAAAAGGTTCCAAAAGTTATTTATTCCTGGTTTCCTGGTGCAGGCTAGGTGATAGACCTGATCCTGAACTGATTCTAAATAACATTGAAAAATGGATGGAGTTTTCAGGTACATGAAATACACACACACACACACACACACACACACACACACACACACACACACACACACTCACACACACACTCCAGTGGCTTGGCCCCAGAAGGCATGCAGGATCCCAGCACCTTAAAAGTGAGTGGAAACAAAAGCCTGGACACCCTGCTATATAGTGAACTTCATCACAAATGACCACAGCAGCCTTGAAGGCTCCTCAATTGATGAGCCAGAGACCCAGTCACACAGTTGCAGAGAACCCCAGAGAGAGCTTGCAGCCTACAGGAAGCAAGGATGTAGTCACAGGGACACATTGGTGTTCTTCATGCCCAGGATGTGGAGGATAGCCCAGGGGAGTCTATACCCTGCTGACATCTGACTTTATGCAGAGTAGCTGTTTCAGCTTTGTGGCAGTTTTGGACAGAAGAGAAGACCAGCTCCCTCCATCTCCTGCCCTCCCTCCTGTCTTCTCCCCTCCCACAGCTGACCTGCTTGCTAGATGGAGCATAGAACGCACTCATTTTATGCTTAAAGCAGACACTCTCCTAAGCAAGAAATGCTGCTTCTGAGTGACCAGCAGTTGGCAGCTGTCTTGGAGAAGCAACATCAGAGTGCTGGGCCCTTATTCTGTTGGAAAGTTGGTAGTAAGTCTGGGGAAGATGGCTGGGTGTTGTTGGAGGATGAAGTTGTTTCTGTGATAGTTCCTTTTCAATAGTGGTCTGATTCCGTTGTGCTCCCAAGCACACCCTGAGCCCAGGATCTCCCACTGGAAGCAGAGCCTTCCCCTGTAAGACTAGTACATGTTCAATAGTCTATGATCCCAAGGAGTCTAGTCAACCCTTTTATGTCAGATCCCAATCCAATCCTCTTCTGAACCCCACAGCATCAATCTATTCTGTTCACCTGATAGAGCCTAGGAAACCCTGGGATGGGATTTAAGACTGCATTCATCTAAAGCTTTCGGGGCTCATGCTTGTAATCCCAGCACTCCAGAGGCAGAGGTGGGCTGATCTCTGTGAATTCAAGGCCAGCCTGGTCTACACAGTGAGTTCCAGACCAGCAAGAGCTACACAGTGGTACTCCAACTCTCAAAATAAGCATCAGTGGGGATGGGGGAGACTGTCCCTAAGCAATGACACAGACTGAGAAGATTGGAAGTGTCCCCTTCCGGCCCAGAGCTCCTTTTGCTACAATCCCTTCTAGAAAGAGGAAAAGCAAGCTCCGCCTTCAGGATCTGTGTCCAGGTTAAGTCACAGAATGCTGTCTCAGCTCAGCACCCTAGTTCCTTAAGTATCAGTTGCTCTCCCCGACTTTCCCACGTGGGAATGTGCTCTGTGAAGTTGGCAGCTTGCTATGTACAAGAACAGGTATGTACGATCTGGAATCTGATTCCGATGAGAATTTCCTGCCATAAGCTGTGTACTCATTAAGTTACTCATCCTCCCTGGGCTGCTGTTTCTAACCTGTAGGCTAGGCGTGGTGGTCCCTGCTTAATTAAAGGGAATCAGAGTTCTCGGGAAACATGCAGAGTCCCACAGGTCATTTGGTATTTGAAAGGGCCCCTGGTTCTTAGTAGGGATGCTGGGCAAGCTAGATCCTCCACTCCCTCTTGGGGGTATCCTGAGGAGCCAGCACTAACCAAAGTCTGCTCCACGGCCCCAGGACAAGATAGCCCCTCCCAATGGTCTGCCCTTGCCTTTGAGGGAAGCCCTGTCAGAAGTAAGGGCTAAGGAGCAGATCTCCAGGGAGAGACAGTGTCAAGAAAAAAACAACAAAACAAACAACAAAATTACTCTGACAGTGTACTCGCCCTCCTCCAGTTTTTATCTCTAACCTTTTCTTTTCTTTTTTTAAGGATAGCAAAGCTGTTTTAAAAAGAAAGAAAGCGTGCAGGTAGCGGCCAGAGCAGAGAGAGGGCTGCCACAAAACAGAGGCTTTCCAATTTGATCAGAAAGCAGCTGAGTCTAAGGTTCAGGGGGTCGACCCACCAGGCCATCTCGGCCCCCACTTGAAGGTTGAGGTGCTACTGGGAACAAGGTTCTCTATTTCTCCTCCCACAGCCGGGCCTGGCGAGTCAAAGATGGAAGGTTTCGGGCGCCCAGGTATCCGGGTCTGGCGCCGGGAGCAGGGACGTTTACAGTCCTCGGAAAGCTGGACTCATCTCCCAGCGCGTAAGGCCAGCTCTAGTTTGCTGAACTTTGGACCTCGGGATCTTGTTCCCATCCCATCGCTACCTGGCAGGCTCACCGGTGCGGGAGGTGGGAGTTGGGGGTGGGCTTGTTTTCAGAACCAAAGGACCCCCGGCTCCAGTCCGGCTTGGGGAGTCGCTGAGCTGGAGAGGGAAGCAAGAGAAAAGGAGACAACTTACTTGGAGAGAAGGGAGCTTCTCTGAACCCCTGGGGCTAACTTCTGGTCGTCCTTCCTTGGCGGTGCAGGTGGCGCTCAGGGCTCTCCCGGGGATTCCCTAGCCTCAGGCATTGCCGACCTACTGGCCGCAGCCCTGAGCTACTCTGAAGTCGCAAATCCTGCCAGCCGAGGCGTCTAAACCTCCTACGCGGCTTCACCGGTCTGCCTCGCCCTTCTAGCTAGAAAGAGCTGCGGGAAGCTCTCTGCTGTCCCTCTCCTCCCCGCCCTCCTCTCTTCTCCCGCCCCATCCCCTCCCGTCCCCCTGGGTTCTCCTCCCTCTGTCCCCCTACAATTGAATCTCTGGATAACAACGCGATTTAAAGGGCCACAGGCAAAGGAGAACCACAAGGAAAGGCAGTAATGGGGGATATGCATGCACAATGGGGCAGATAGTGGAGATGGGTGGGGGCTGTTGGTCTTGGGGTTGTAGTCACTTGGGAAGGAGTCGGGTGCTGGAGGCTGATCGGAGAGAGCTAGCAGCCTCCACCCTACTGTCTCGCCCACTGTTACCCTCTTCTTCCCTCTCTTCCTGGTCCTCCCTGGCGATGTTCCTGGGTTCTAGCTACTCAGCATGTGATGGCCACGGCGCAGGCCAACGTGAGTGTGTGAGAGCGTCCCGGGTACGTTTGGGATGGTTCGCGTGTACATGTGTGTTTGTGTGATCGCCCGTGTGTGCGCCGCTGTACGTGTGTGAGCGCCTCCTGCGAGTGTGTGAGCGCCCAGGGGGACCTGTGTTTAGAGGCTGCGGAGGAGCAGACAGGAGAAACTCTTAGGGCAGAAAATGCAGGCTCGGAGCCTTGCAGGGACTGCCCCGTCCCACTGGGGCGCTCTGAAGGGGGTGTTGGAAGAACTTCCATGCCTTTCCAGAGACCCGATGCAGCAGGTGGGGACAGTCCTAAGGAAATCGGGAGTCACAGTTCTGTTGACTCCTCAAGCTATATCCCCAGGCTCACGAGTTTGTCTCTTGTAGCCAGACTGGATTCTGAAGGTCTGAACCTCCCGGCTGGAGGTGAAAGTCTAGAGAAGAGAGAAGGGAAATGGGTCTGTGGTCGGGGCATTCTGCTTAGGTCCCTTCTCCTAAGCAGCCTGAAACTAGATGGGAATGGCAGGAAAATGGCCTTCCATAGAAGGACAAGTGAGACCCGAACCATTTCCTGGTAAGGTGGGTGGCCTTACCTCCCACTGCCCCACTCTCTCTCTGTCTCTTCCCAAAGGTCCTTTACATAAAATATTAAAACCATAGTGTCATTTCTGAGATGAAGTATATTAATGAGTATACTAAATGGGAGTCTGTACGGTAATAGTATTAATGGGCACAGTCTTGAATTTCCATGTTTCATTAAGCAACAAACCCACCCACCTTCCAGTCCTGTTCTTGTATCATTCTGTGTCCAGGATGTCTGCACCTGACCCCGGATCGTTTCATTTTCTGTGCAACATTCTTCATGTGTACACCCCACTGGCCGCTGCTCTGGGGCTGAACATCCTTCCGGGATCCATTGTCTGTCTCTACGCAGCCCAGATTCTTCTTCTTGCTGTCAGAACTCCCCTTCCCCCTTTGTGGACTCCTGGCCTTGAGCAAAGAACTCTAGTCTTCAATTCTAGTGAACTGTAGGAAAGACAGACAGAAATGTCACTCTGTCTGGGGAGGGCCAGCAGGTGACTGTCTGCTGGTGCCTTTGGGGGAGCCTATAGAACTCAGTGGTATTAGCTCCAGCCCCCCTCTGTCTGTTACCCAGCCTTTTGGGTTCAGCTCTCGTTGACTCCTAAGGCAAACATAGCCTGACTGTGTATGTGTATCTCCAGGCCCCAGGTCCTGTGTTTGGGAGAATATTTATCATGTGAATGATGGCTATGACAAGGAAGCTGGTTTATTCAATGACAAGGAGAAACATGCCTGCCACTGGGCCTGAGTGAACTATTCAGTCTTGCTGGAGAGCAACCCACAGTCCTGTCCCACCCAGGAACAGAGCTGAGTGCCACGGGGCCAGCACCTGCCCCTGGTTAATCACTGTGGCCTGCTCTGTTAGCCACGAAATCTGTCTGTCCCTCAAGGGACTTTGACTGTCTCTGTGCTCATCTCATTGTCCTACTTAGGGTTACTATTGCTGTAATATAATACTGTGACCAAAAGCAAGTTGGGAAGGACAGGGTTTATTTGGATTAAGCTTCCATCCACATTATAGTCCACCACCGAAGGAAGTCAGGACAGGACCTCAAACAGGGTAGCAATTGAGGTAGCACCTGGTGAGGAAGCAATGGAGGGTGCTGCTTGCTGGCATGCTCACCATGGCTTCCCCAGTCTGCTTTCTTACTTATAGAACTCAGGTCCACCAACCCAGGGATGGCACCACTCACAATGGTCTGGGTCCTCCCCCATCAATCAACTAAGAAAATGTTCTACAGTCAGATCTTATGAAGGAATTTTCTTAATTGAGGTTCCCTGAAGGCAAGGGTTTAAATGAGTTCACCAAGCCCAAGATTGTAGAGTGAAGCCTTCCTGTCAGCTTGGTTCCAGAGCTGCATCAGTCCCAAATGAACACACAGGATGCTATATTAATTATGAAGCTTTTGGCCATTTGCTTGGTTTCTTATTGGCTATCTCTGACTTCAGTATTTACCCCATAATTGTTAATCTAAGTATTTCTCTTGCCAGAGAAATGGGTCCGGACCTCTTATTCCTATGGTGGCTACATCATGACTGCCTGTGTCTCTCTTTCCCAGAATCCTCCTCAACTCCTAGTCCCACCTATCTTGCTTCCCTATTGGCCAACAGTGCTTTATTGACATATACGCAGGACTTCCCCATCACAAAATAAATGATAAATAGGTGTTTTATTAGGAAAGAACTCACACAGATAAGAGTAAATAACTACCTAGATCTTCCTGCTCCAGAATTGCAGTCTCTTCTCTTCCAATGCTTTCCACAACCCAAGAGAGTGCAAGCCCACAGCTCTTCTACTTTATAATGGGTCTGCACCTGAAACCACGCCCAAAGGGTGTGGTCACTACTACAAGTTTACTGGTAAGGCACGATGCCCCTACAATTCCCTTTTTGTCTAAAGAAAAAGGTTTTAAGTCTGATACAAAAACTATATACAATGACAATGATGCCATTACATTTCCCTCCTTTTAGATGGCTCTAGCTTGTGTCAAGCTGACATAAAATTGACCAGAGCACCCATTATGTGCTGGTTTGACACTCAGCAGATAGTATTTAACGCTTTGATTTCCTAGCTGCCATGAGAAGCCATACTGCTCTGAGATCCAGCTAATGCCCACATGAGGCATCTGCTGAGTCTCCATGTTCTGTCCTGTAGCAGCAGTGGCCTTTGGATTAGCATAGAGAACAAGCTGTTCTTTCTTGATGGAGCATGGCAGAATTCGTAATAAAACAGGATGCTCTGGGCAGTACTGCTTTGACAATATCCCATCAATGTTGGAACCTCTAACTGGAGATGGAAGAAAAATCTATGCCCAGTTTTCAGCTTAGACCTGGTGGATGGAATTCTAGTCCTGACTGGTTCACAAATTTAAGGTGCTCTGGAATTTTCTAGGCCAAGTCCGTGAGAGAGCCCAAGTGGCATCTGAGGATAGGTGGCACTACCGCTTAGAGAGTCTGGAAGGTGCAAAGTGAGCCTTTCATCGTCTGGAAATTAATGGGAGGTAAGAAAGCAGCAGAGCTGGTGTGTGTTAGCACCGTCACCGAGAGAGCAGCCTCTGCCCCTTTCATTTGCTTCTCCTCCCTTCTTTCCTGAGCAGCAGCTGGATTCACAGCTAAAGGTTTTCTCTTCAGACTATGACACCTACAGGAAATCATTTTTTCTCCTATTTATAGAAATTTCATTTGCATTCATGAGGCCGGTAATGTCTCATGAATATTTCCTGCCAGATAAAATATTAATTAAAAGAATTTGTTGAGTTATATACTCTGAAATCCTAACTAAATCTCTTCTAAAACAAATATTTTAAGTACTTTTTTCTCATTCTAGGAGAATCTCTCATCCATTACTGTGTATGTAAGCTCTCCAGGAACAACAGTTATCAAACAATGAAATATTTCCCAAGAGCTAACTAATAGTCAGATGACATCCATGCAATTTACTACTAAACCCCCTATAGAAAAACTCCTTTTTCTTCAAGAATTAACAACCTGAATGTGCTTCTTCTTTTCTTAAGGTTTCTTTCTGCTAAGATTGCAAGTACATGCCTGCTGGGCAGTGGTGGCGCACGCCTTTAATCCCAGCACGCGGGAGGCAGAGGCAGGCGGATCTCTGTGAGTTCAAGGCTGGGCTGGACTCACAGCCTCCAAAACAACACAGAGAAAACCTGTCTCGTAAAAGCCAAAAAAAAAAAAAAAAAAAAAAAAAAAAAGATTGCATGCACACACACACACACACACACACACACACACACACACGCAGAGAGAGAGAGACAGTGATATCCAGCCAGTGACCACTGACCATGTACACAGCAGTCCTTCCTCATTCACTATTACACTTGGTCTGGTTTCAGTTACCAGCAGTCAGCCATGGTCTGAATAAATCAAACGGAAGATTTCAGAAATACTCAATTTATAGATTTTAAGTTGCATGCAATTCTGAGTCGCATGGTGAAATCTCACACCACCTCACTCTGTCCCATCAAGGCACAGGTGTCTGCACTGTATGAGAGACCACTCCCTGGGCATGTACCTGGTAAGCAATGTTAATGCCAAGATATCCCTACCTTGCTTAATAAGATCTCTGAAGCAGCAGTGTAGTAATTAGATGGCACAGATTCCACAGCCAAATATTGATTCCTTGTCAGCGAGATGGTGAAAGTTCCCAACTTTAGAAGGAAGAATTTTCATTCACCCAAGGTTGGTGCAGTTTTAGTAGTAAATAAAAAGAAAGAAAGAAACTCCTGTCTGTGGAGTTTCAAAGAAGGGGAAGGAAATTTGTGCTAGCTTTGCTGTTACATGAGGTGTATATCTCGATGTGGTTGAACTGGGGGATGTGCACTTAGTTTGGTTGGAGAGGCCTTACCCATGTGTAGGGAAAGCGGCAAGTGTTCAGGTATTCTCGGGGGATCTGGAGACAGGAGGAGGTTAAGGGAATTGTGAGTCATTTCACATTCACCAACAGGCCTGCGGTTCTGGAGACACTTTAATAGATGCTGTAAGAGGAGATAGAAAGCAT